ACGAGGGAGGGTCCTATATGGTCGCTTGAGAAAGGGGGTGGGGTAGTATGTTTTTGAAGAAAATATTTTCGGTTGTTGACGTGGGGTAGTTTCTGCTTTTGAGGAAAATATTATTTTCGGTTGTTGACGTTCCTTGGTGGGTTCGACGGCAATTTTTTGGGGAAAAGTGGAAGACTTTCTAGAAAAAAGCAGAAAAGTAGCAGTAAGTTGGGAGAATTCGGAAGGATGGTAGCGAAGTTGGCGAAGTTGGAGGGGGTCGTAGTACAGCGTAATTTTGAGAGGGGGAAGGCGGGCGGTTGTATTTCGCATGATGTTTTCCCAACGTAGTACCCTGGAAATCGTTATTTGTGCTATTGCACTAGTGTTTTATCTAAATTTGTTTGTTCAGAACGCATGGATCTCATAGGGGCGTGCAAAAATGCAAAATACCCCCTCCTCCCTCAACGCGAACTGAACTGAAAGTAGGACCCGCTTTGTTTGCGAGCACCTCCGAACCAAATCTCCTGTGTTCAGAGGCGTTGCAAGTCAGAGCAACATTCATAAAAGCTGTGCATCAACCTTCTGAGCACGTGTAATGCCATGCGAGACTGAGATATTGACTGAACAAAAAGCCGCGGCAATTCCCAGCTTCGTCTTTTGGCGAATTAGGCTGCTTAGATGAATGCATTGGAGCCCGTTGAGTTAGGTGGCCTTTAATGACTTCTTGCACATCTGCTTCAAAGGCTGATATTCAGTAGTTGCCATTGGCGCAATTTGCCGACGGGGGGGAGGCATTCTACACTTTCGCTGCTTCACTGGTTCTGGTTTACAAGTCTCACTCTGGTGAAACCTGTGAACTCTTGTGAAGCTCGTCAAGCCATCATGGTAAAACCTGTCAACTCGAGAAGAGGCTGTCTAGATGGGTCGACACGTCGATGGGAAGTCGTTAAAGTGCAAAATGCCCCCCTCCTCCCCCCCCCGTCGCCAAACAGCGCCAATCAAATAGAAAGTTCTGGAATTGGAATATCTCATAATTTCAATGGGATGTGTGATTAATTTGACATCTACTCTTTTTCATTTCAGGTTCGCGATTTTCTCAGCCGACAGCATCGCCCCATTACGCAGCCGACATGAGATCGCCACCGTTAATGTCGCCAACGCAAGCGCCAATGGCCCCTCAGGCTGCCATGCCACGTCCAATGAGCAACGGTACGAGTCATACTGTCGGAGTTTTGCTGCTGTTCGCCAAGGAAGGGGCATTCAGAGGATTATCTGTGGCCAACATTGGACCGCCAGCCAAACAACAGCAGTCCAATACTCGACTATGAGACCATAGACGGCGCATTTGGTTTTGGACTCTCGAGCCGTCTTTGTTCACCATGTGGGAGAGCTCCTAATGTTTCCTGGGCAATGGCACTAACGCTGCCACCATGCTGTGCCTAAACCGAGTTACATTACCACTAGGCTTTACGTGATCTTTTTTAAGAAATTGCAGTACGCTCTAAAATCTCCAACTCTTCTGTTTAGTGCAAATTTAAGATTCTTATTTTCATGGATTTTCGGGACCATTTTCTGATTGCTGCATTCGTGATGGTTTTCACGACGTGCAGTTTTTCGAGTGACAGTCCATCTGTACTTCAGGCGACATGGTTACGCAACCAATACGTATGGTCCCGACGCCTCAGCAACCAGTTATTCCTAGTCAATTTTTCACTTATGAGCCGAATCTTCTTATGAATGGTGAGCTTCATTCTCCCTGTTAGGCTTACGTGAGGTTTACTTTCTTGTTTTTTTTTCGTTTTTTTTCTCTCGAATGTCTCGGGAGAGGCTCGTTTTTTGTACTGAAGAATGGTTTGATGTGTATAATGATGCTCAGAGCCACTCTACACGAGGGTGGTCTTAAAGTTCGAGATGTATGAGGGCATTGAAGCGTGTTTCCGGTTGCTCGCGAACAGTGGTTAGTAATCAGGGGGTGGATGGAAAAACAAAAAAAAAACCATCAAAATCGACCTCGCCAGAGTACCCGAAAAGAAAAGGAAAGCGGAGTCTGCTCCAGGGGCGGAGCGTTGCCAGCCACGGTGGCCAAGTGAGTGGCTGCTTTCACGTCACGTAGAGCCGCAGGAGTGTGTACTTCGCCTGTGCGTCTAGAGAGTGACGGGTGTGTATCTTCCGGAAGATAGATTCGCATTTCGAGTTCACCAGATGGTATTGCCTTGTGAATTGTACGGCATATGTTCGGATGGTGAACGACATGTTCCACGGATAAATTGGATTCTGGAGTCGGAGCATTTGTCTGGTCGATTCGGCTCTCCATCTCGGGAACATCGACATTCGCTCCCGGCGTACATAAAGCTACCGCCAGAACGAGCGGCGGAGACGCCGAGTTGTATTGTCGGAGCCAGTAAGAACCCAACATGAATGCGCCGCAGGGGGGGGCGCGTGTCGGGTCGGGGCCGCTATGTGCACCCCGCGGGATCGAACCTTCTTATTTTTCTGCCGTTTTTTTTACAGAGGTTCTTTTTCCCTGTTGGGCTGGTCTGTCTAATCTCATGGGACTCCCTTTCAGGCACTAAAAGATCGCAAACGTTTGGTGACAATGCAGTGGTTGGTGGATGTGATTGATGAAGAAACAAATGGACGTACCCCCCCCCCCCCAACCCTCCCCCGTACCATGGCGGCATGCCCATCTACCGTCGGTATTTATAGATGGCTGTAGACCGCTCCAGGGAAAGGTTCGTTCGATAAGACCGTGGTAGTACCAACGATTATAGGTAACCCATCCGATCAATAAGCTCATATCCGGAGATGGAGTAGGCGTAGGCTTGATATATTTTAAAATTGCGCTGAAGGCTCTTCCCATCTGAGGTAACTCTCGTTCCGTCTTGCACTGGATAAAGGCATGAGTGCATCCCTCGAAACGGCAATATTCCATCAAAAGCGCAGTTGCTACCACTTTTGAATAGAGTACACAGTCACGCCCTACCCATCTCCGGGAATGGAGTGTCCGTTACGGCACTTATTGTTGCACCCGCCATGGTTCGATCAGTCAACTTTCGAGGAATGAATCTCGTCTTTACCATCAAAAGACAGACATTTCAGTTGATCTCGTTCTCCGGCTTTGACGAAAGTGAACGAGCCGCAATGAAGTTCATGGTGGAGGCAATGGGAGCGAGATTTACACCATATTTGAGTCGTCATAATAATATTCTGATTGCTAAGACGTAAGCCACTCGTTTACTTTTATTGGTTTGCATTTCAATTATTTTCTTGTTTGTTTGCTTGGTTGTCCACAGCATAGAGAATGAGTAGAGTTATGTTCAAGTAAATGAGGGGCGCAGTTGGACACGACAGGGCGGAAGGGGGCGGGGGATTTTGCACTTTTGCTGTTTCCCATCAAAAAGGGAAGAGAACCTGTCAACTCTTGTCAAGCAGTGAAATGCCGCACAAGTACCATTTTGCTCAACGTGCTGGCTCCAGCTTCACAAGAGTTTACAGGTTTCACCAGAGTGAGACTTGTAGACTGGAGCGAAAGTGTCAAATGCCCCCTCCCCGCCTCGCCGAACTGCGCCCAAATGAAGCTCTCAGTGTTGGTCAGGCTTCCTGTATGTGCCAGAGTGCGAAAAAGGGACCAGTGGAGTTAGAACGATTGCTCGGCTCGAACGGACCAGATCGTTTATCCAGCTCACCGGTACCCCTCATGGTAGCGGCCCTAGTTTCCCTACTCCGCTCACGCCAGTGTTTCGTTTCCCTGCTTGCTTACCAGCCTATTTCCCTGCTTGCTTACCAGCCTATTCTATTTCCCTTACATTTATCGTCTTTCTTGTATTAAGGACGCTGTTTCGAAATTATTACATGTGCAGCTGGTTACTTGCAGAATTGGGGTTCTTTTTTTGCTCATGCCCATGGAATTTTCGGCGCAATTCGGCTTGGTAGGGGCCTTTCACTGGTTCCCTTCAAATTATCTGTTAAGTTACCCAATAGCAGGAGCTCCACTACACTTGACAAGGGTGTACAGGTTTCAAGACGTTGAGACTTGTAATCAATCACATTAGATCCATCCCAAGGAGCTGGCGAAAGTGCAGTTGCAAACTGTCCCACCTAAGCCTAACAGCACCAATTTTTCTCTCCCCATCTGTCCTCTCCTCCCAATTATATCGTTAATACTATCATTGAATTACCATGCATATATGGCGGAGGCGGTGTAGTGACAAGTGGCGCGCTTACCACTCGCGCGGCGCCGGGTTCGAATCCCGGGGACTCCCGCCCAGGCCAACCAAGCCTTCTACCCTCCGGGGACGGTAAATTGGTACCAGATTCGTCTGGGAGGATAAAACACTGACTTGTACATCGGCTGGCCACCGCAAGTCATTGTATAGGCCACATCGCATTCAATAAGCCACTACGATTCTGAATGGAAGTAGAATGCGTGCCGCATCCCAAAAAGTGATTGATCAACGGCGGAGACTTTATCCTTTATTACTATCATTTATATGGTCATACTTGGTCATATTTTCGACTTTTTTCACGATTGTATTCAGCGCTGGAGTTGAAAAAGTTGAGAAAGCACGCGAATGGGATATACAAGTGGTGAATTATCAATGGCTGGCTGATAACTATGCGGGTCAGAGAGTGGACGCTGATAATCAACGATATCCAGGTTAGCAGGAAACACATCTCTTTGAAATCTCTCACTTAATAGCTGTGTTATTTAACTTCTCATCTTACATTTCGTCATTTAGCTTGGCCAACCGTGTGAAGGTGTTTCACCAGGTCCATACGCCTTAGAAATGATTAATGATCAGTTCAAGCAACTTCTACGTAAGCTTTTTCTCGTCGTTTATTTCTCTTAACATGAAGGGGCGCAGTTAGGCAACAAGGGGGGGGGCTATTATGTACTTCCGCTGCTTCGGTGGTTCTGGTCCAGGTATCTTCACTGCTGAAACGCATGTGAGCTCAGGTGATAAGCCGTGCAAAACTCGTCAAGCCACCCTAGTAAATGGTATTTGATCTTTTAATGCTACAAGTTGAACAAGTCTATTCACAAGAGTCAGGTTGGTTGGCATCATTTCGTTCACAGATACGGCTACCCTTGATGGCGCGCCATTTTGTAATGGCGGAAGTTTATCGAAAGTGCTGAATGGAATGCCTCCCCCCATTCGCCAAAATGCACTTTTGGCGTCTATAAAAAGCTATGAAAAGTTGCTGAAGTATTGTTTTTGTACATGAATGTTTTACGTTCAGTTTGCTGGAAAATGCCAGTGATTGTCACTCCTGAACAATGGAGACGTTCCTTTGATACTAAGCAAGCGGTTGAGAACGATGAAGGTGTCTTTCCGAACAAGAAGCTACGGTTGGTATTCTTTTCCTTTTTGATCTGTTTCTTTTCTGTTTTTCTGTTAATTTATAGGTTTGATATAAGCTTGACCCCCATGATCGACTAGGATTCCTTCACATTTTTGTGCGTTCCTTTGCAGTTCAAGGAAATTTGTGATCAAGATTAGAAACATTGCGGTACTAACGCAGTAGGGAGGGGCAGGGGACCACGCAGTCGCGTCTCTGTAACCCTTCTCCAAAGAAGTTTAGGCTGAGAGCCGCAAGACGAACAAAGTCGGCACGAGGCAAGCGATAATTTCCAGGGAAGATCCAACAGGAAAAGCGATGACATGTCAAAAAATACAACAGATCGGGAGGGCGGGTGGATCGTATTTTGGCTGGCTTGGGAGGAGGGTCGCCTCGCTCATCCTCGAGAAATTTTTTGGTATTGTGATTTTTCCGTTATGAGCGCTTCTCATTGGCGCAGTCACAATGCACTATTAATCCCAGCCCCCTTCCCCCTATTTGTCGACGCCGCGAAACTGCTATAGATTGCTATTTCTCATACTACAGTCGCGGAAAAAAACTTGGAACAAGCCCAAGTCGCGCGCTTTTTAATAGTTTTACATACAATTTTTAAATTGCACATGAAAACTTTGTTTGCTCAAATCAAGTACGCCTCAAAATGCTATTCTAAAAATGAAGTTGGTTGATTAAATTCGTTACCGGGACAGAATTTTGAAGATTATTGCGATGCGGCATGCCGCTGCCACTCTGATATTGGACCGGTTTTCAAAGTTTCTAATGCTTTGGGAACAACATAGGTTTCTCGAGAGTTAAAAAAAAAATGGAAGAAGGGAGCGAACACTCAGACAGGTGTGATCTTCTTCCGATGGATCGCAAAGCATTAGAAACTTTGAAAACCGGTCCAATATCAGAGTGGCAGCGGCATGCCGCATCGCAATAATCTTCAAAATTCTGTCCCGGTAACGAATCTAATCAACAAACTTTATTTTTTGGAATAGCATTTTAAGGCGTACTTGATTTGAGCAAACAAAGTTTTCATGTGCAATTTAAAAATTGTATGTAAAACTATTAAAAAACGCGCGACTTGGGCTTGTTCCAAGCGTTTTTTCCGCGACTGTAGATTCGTTGTTTGGAGAGAACATCTCCCTTAACCCTCCCATTTTTGAGGAAATAATGTGAATTTTTGAGGAGATACGGAAGGAGAAACCAACGAGCACACAACTTTACATATATTTATGTTAGTACTGAATGTTCTTATCGAGGGCTCGCTTTCATTCTAGAATGCAATCAGCTCCTCCAAGTGAAGCGGAAATCGCGGCGAAAGCCCAGGAGCATCAAAAGTCCGGCGTTACGCATCCAGCGTATGTGGTTGCATTCAGTGGGATTGACGATGAAAATAAGCATGTTTTAACGCAGGTAATACATTTACAACAATTGATTCTTCAGAGTTTTTGAAGTCCCCCACCTTTTTTGAGTGTGGGTCATTGAAACATTCGTTATACAATGATCAAAGCTGTGATTTACATTTAGAAGCTACGATATCTTGGTGGACGAGCATGTGAGGAGGTGTCTGAGTGTACCCATTTGGTGACGACGAATGGTCGACGAACGGAACGGCTGTTGGAGGCGATTTGTTTGGGAAAGAATATAGTGAACCCTTACTGGATAGTGCATGGATACGAATGTCGACAGTGGATGGGTGAGTTTATTGAACTAGGCGCGATTCGGCTTAGTGGGGGTAACAAATGGCTTCCAGCGAAGCCTGTACGGGCCACCTTCTGAATACGTGTGAATTCCTCTAGCTAAAGTGGCTCGCTTATACTTTTTCGTAAGTAGCTCTACAAGTGTTTACAAGTATAATCAAAGTGAGACCTTTTCGGAAGCATGGACTAAGAAACTTGCGAAAGTGCGAAATGCCTCCCCCCCCTCGAGCCAAACAGCGTCGAAAGCTTCCATCTGCTGTATTGAATATCACTTAGTCCGACGCTGCGGAGCTAGTCTGAGATGTCAAAATCAGCTTAATCTCAGTCTTAATTTGGACCAGGAGATTCATGTTAAGGAGAGGCGTGGAAGCTATTAGATATTTTCTAAGGCATTGTTCAACTGTACCTTAGCTTTTATAGCCTTCTGGTGCGAATGCGCGCGGCATTGTATTCCACTATAGTGATGGCTGCCGCCATTTGCTGTCGAGTTGCATAAATTGATATGTTTCACTGTTTAGATACACTTGATTACTTCCTGCACGACGAAGACCAAGAACGGCATTTGGGCTACAATTGTAAGCGTAGCGTGGTCAGGGCACGGCACAAGAAAGTGTTCGAGGTAAGGATGGGTCTCGAAGCGAGACGCTTCACTTTTTTTCGACAATATAAAAATGAGTTTTCAAGCGATGCATTGTAAGGGCCCATGATTGCGAGTTAGCCGTGTGTGGCTGGCATAGTGCCAGTCACCGCAAGCCTGCTAGCCAAAATTCTACTCAAAGTCATGCGATAGCCTCCTGAAGCAGAGACCATCTTTCTTCCGTAATTTTTAGCTTCCTTCTTATCAAGAAGAGCTTTTCAGTGGGAGTAGGTCGAAATTAGTTTAGCAACGCTCGAATTCTCTCTTTCGCAAGCGTAAAGGGCCTACCAATCCAGGCGGTCATGTGTGTTCTCAATAAACATCAGCAAGAAAAGTGTCAAAACTAACCTGCCCACCCAGGTTGCATGTGCTGTTGCCGCATCTTCAGCATAATTGGAAAATATATGTTCAGGATGTTCAGTTCTACATAACACCGTCAGTGGAACCGAGCCGTGCGGTACTCACCAAGTTGATCCGCTTAGCTGGTGGCACAGTTCACGAAAATCGTCCAGCACCAGCTCATATAGGTATGTGGATTTGAATCTTTTTTTTCAATCCTCTGAATTTCTTTAATATGAAATTCCCGTGCTGTGTACGATTACCTGAATGTCGAAGTGTTCCTCGCATGAAGTGCTCAGTGCCCACACTCGACTAAAGGGAACGAACGGGTCAATGGCGTGAGATTCAGAGAAGCTGAGAGCTGTCAACCCTACGGTTCCCCTCACATCTGCATCAGAAGCGTGAAACTTGTGGCAAACTCATCCGCCTAGGGGCAATCTCATGAGCCGCAGGGGGGGGGTCCTTCTTTGGGAACGCCCTCGAATTTTCCTCGTGTTTCCTGAGTGCACTTCGCACGCTTTTGTTCACCCCAGAAAGCGCGAGTCGCCTGAGCCGCAGAACCACCACACCACTTCCGTTTTCGATAGCTGAGATCAGTAGTTGATTGGTGACAGCCACCGTCCTTCTCCCGCCCACTTTTTGTACTTAGGGTAGGGGGAGGGAAGGAAGCTCAAATGACGTTTTTTTGGGAAAATACGAGGAGGAATTTGGGAGGGGTTGTATCAGAGGAGGAAGTATGTCGGAAGGGGTCGTACTCCTCCCATTTCACTCATCACATTGCTAGACCCTGGATCGGTGTGTAAGGTTTTCTAAAAGCGCAGCTGTACGCCCCGCCCCCCTACCCCTCTACCTAGACCTTTCTTTTTTTCTATCCTTCTTGTAGACTCGTTTTTTACTTTTTCTCAACTGTCTCTCTTATCCTCTGCTTACTTTTTTGTGTTTAGCACGGATGTATTGAAACCGATGCACCGTTTATTGTGATCAGCTGTGAATGTGATCTGCGAATGGTGCAGTACCTGTTGGAATGCAATTTCCGTGAGTTCTCTTTTTGATTCGATGCTTTTCTGTGCCAGATCGATTGGAATTTATTCGGGGATTACTGTATGAACTGAATTTATTCGGAAACGATTACTGTACTACCCAGTAACAGTCTGTTTTCAGCTGTCTACAATACTGATATGGTTTTGATAGCGTTGATGCGACAAGAACTGGAGCCTCACCCGCTGTACCGAGTGAGTACGGCATCTTTGGTACGACCAACACCACCACCGTCGTCACAACCGCAAACGACACCTACCCATCAACATTTCCGTCCGATACCATCGCAATCTCAACCCCATCGAGTCAAAGCCTAGTCCAGAAATTGTTGATCTCCAAAGAGCTCATTGTCCTCGGGAACTGCTCAGTTTTGTTCATTGTTGTAATTGTTGTAGATCTCTTCACATAGAGGGTTTGTCAATTATTATACGGGTATCTTAACATGTTGTAAATATTTGGAATAATTGATAAATGTTATTTTGAAAGCTGTCAACTGTTTTTAGGCTAACATAAGTAATCGGAGGCAGTAAAGTGTAGATATGGCAGAAATCCTCTGAATTTTCCAGAACTCAAAATCACAAGGGGAAGTCAAGACCCTTGGGCACCCCATTGGACAGACCTGGAATCGCTCTCCAATGACCGCTGGATCCCCATTTGGGCTTGGTTTTACATCATCGTGGGAACTGTCATAGCACTTCGTCTTCCTTATTGTGTCGCTTTTGAAGACGATGTTCAATTGTTAGCCGCGTAAGAGCACTAGGTCAAGTGACGTCGCGTGTCGGTGATCTTTGGAACGCATTTTCGATTTTCGCGAACATTTGTTCGATGACTGATGGGGTTTTTATAAAGTCCAACATTGTGTTATTGTGTTAGCGAAGAAGCGGGAGGTTGCGGTTGAAAGGGTAAAGCTTTGGGGCACTGTTCAGCTTAAGAGGGGCATTAATTTAGTAGTAATGTTAATTTCTGGTACCTCAACGAGCTTTCTGTGAAACCCATAAGTTCTTGTGAAGCTGTGGAATGGTACAAGTGACTCACTTGTTGCAAGAATTCACAGGTCTTTAAGGACCTGTGGACAGCCGGGCATGCGCGTGTGATCATTTCTTGGGAATACGACCCTCCTTAGGTCAATCCCAAAATACGACCTCCCTCCCCATGATACCTACCACTTTCCTAGATTTTCTCAACTTCCTACCACTTCCAGAAAAATTTCTGGTTTTTCCCCCGAAATTTTGCTGTCGAGCGGGGAGGGGAGGTCGTCAGGATTGAACGGCAGTCCCTCTCCCAACAACGACCAAATACGATCCTCCCCCTGTAGCGTTCGTGAAACAAGAGGAATCAAGCTATCCACAAACAAATTTCCTCAGACCAAATACGACTCCTCTCCATTGCGGTCGAATACGACCCCTACCCCGTTGTGATCATCGCAACGATGACGTACCCTGAGGCTTTGCTGGAAACCATTTAATGCCCCCACTAAGCCGAACTGTGACCCTTTCTGCACTGCCTAATGCCTTTTGGAATGATAAATGCCCATAGCCTCAAGAGCAACTGATTTTCACCCTATCAAAGAATTCCGACGCCAAAGAAATGAATAAAATGGGTAGAAAACCTGGTTATGCCCCGCGATTTGATTCAGGGCCGATCTTCTGGTGAACAAAATAAGAAGCGTCACTTTCACTGCCCAACATCTACTTAGATAGACAGGGCTACGAGGCTCACGAAAAAAAACAGTTTATGTTGAATTCCGCTACTGTAACCAGAACATGTGGTAGTTTGCATTCCTCAGCGAGAGGGGTCGTATTTGGTCGTTTTGAAGGGGAATCGTACTGGATTTGCGAAACGCTGTCTAACAATGGGGAATAAATCCCGAGAAAAAAGCAGTTGGGAAAATTTAGGAAGATGGTAGGTAGGATGGGGACATGAGAAAAGGTGGGGTCGCACCAAAGACGGAAATTTTGAAAAGAGTGTATTTTACAAAAGTTTTCTCCGTCAGCAGGGAGCGCCCTGATTGCAACATACAAATTCTCTTCCATCCTGTACAGGTAATACTTCCAGACTTTCACGATGTCATTACCAGGAGGGAAACGACTACTTAGAAGAATAGAAATGAAGAGAGTGTGCATCGGTTTCCACCATCTAAGGCTGGACTTGGACCCTTCAGCCTTTGCGCTGCTTTCTAGCAAGTTTGGTTCAGAACAGTTATGAAATTCGCTTAAAAACCTGACTTCGAAATTTTTCCAGCGAGAATGATTGCTGCGGTTTTTAAGGAGTCCTGCAGGGCGGCGAC